GGATAAGGGGAGATGACTGTAAAAGCAATGGAAACAAATCCTTGTTTGTTTTTCACATTTAAAAATGAACTATTGGAGATACAAATGCATCTAACAGTAAAAAAATAAATCCTTAACATCTATCCCTCTATTAATGCAGACTCAAGAAGTGATTAACCACATCTCAGGGAGCCCACGTATGCATGTAAAGAGCTGGCTTATTAAGCATTAGAATGTGCCAGTCATTTTTGATAAATAAGGTCATGGAAACGTATTAACAAAACCAGAAAAGTGAAATACATTCAAAGAGATATCTGTAACACCAAGAAGTCGACACAGACTCTCATAATCACATATCTATGTCCAAAATGCCAAAAGGAAATCCCGAACAGGTGGGATCGGTGTGGGGAAGGACTTGAGGGTCAGACGCTGAGTGTGCTGGGCAGCTGCGCACAGGAAGAGAGAGGCAGCTTAAACTGCATCGGACAGACACACGTGGGCAAAATTGAAACCTCTTATCTGTAAAGATGAGAGCACACTGGACAGAGCAACAAATGGAGATTAAAACTGTATTTCCTTAGACAAATCATTTCATAGTTGTATTGAGAAACGATTTACACCCTGCACAGCTGACCCACCATCACGGTGGTGTAAAACTTCTTGGCAAAGTTCCAGAGTTGGGCACTCACCAACCACTGTACACTGTCATATCCATCAGTGGCACTGAGTTCTGGAAGAACAGAAAATCACGTGCTCTAGATACTTTGCTTTTAACAAAGGAAAGCACTAGACAGCCCTTGGAGTCCACTTCTAAATCTATGAATTGACAATAACCTTCCCTGACTAAAAACAGACAGAATGTGGCCCAGGCAGCCTTATACTTGAGACTGTTTCCAAATGCCCACTCTATCTCCAATCACCAGGAATCTTCAATTTCATCCCTTTGCCTCATATTTCTTTGTCAATATGACCAAATACTCTGTTTGGACCAGTGTTTAAACATTACAAATGGAAAATACTGTCCAAATCAAATCAAACTCTCTAAAAGAGACTTAGAATTAGAAGATAAAGCATTATCTGTTGGGGAGGATAGGTTTTAAACATTTTATGATATTGGAAGGGTTTTAAATTTATGTGAAGTAGAGAAATCAAGAGTTGTAAAGTATGGGAAACAGCAAACTTCTTTTTAATTTTTGAATTATCTTCAAAGGACTTTTCTTAAGAATTAGATGGCTTTCCTTCTTTCTTTTCTCCTTATCATTTTACTTACTAATGTATTCTTCCCTAAGTGAAAAGGGCTGCTATAAAAATCTAAGACCTGTCACACTCACCTTGATAAATTATTTCCCTTATATACCAACAGTTTTAACTACTTTTTTAAATGAGTGAAACACCATGAGATAGAACAAGAGAGGAAATGACAGAGAATAACTTGCTTTTCTCAGTCATCCTACCATAATACATGGGCTTAAAATGGGTAAGAGCTCTCAAGGTTTCGAAGCAGCGGTCCCCAACCTTTTTGGTACCAGGGACCAGTTTCATGGAAGACAATTTTTCCACAGATCAGAGCAGGGGGGTGGATGGTTTCAGGTTGATTCAAGTGCATTACATTTATTGTTCACTTTATTTCTATTATTATTACATTGTTACTTGCCACTAACTGATAGGGCTTTGATATGAGTCCGCAAGCAATTGATTTATTATGGTCTCTGTGCAGTCAAACCTCTGTGCTAATGATAATCTGTATTTGCAGCCCCTCCCCAGAGCTAGCATCACTGCCTCAGCTCCACCTCAGATCACCAGGCATTAGATTCTCATAAGGAGGGTACAACCTAGATCCCTCACATGTGCAGTTTACAGTAGGGTTCACGCACCTATGAGAATGTAATGCCACCATTGATCTGACAGGAGGCGGAGCTCAGGCGGCGATGCGACAGATAGGGAGCGGCTGTAAATGCTGATGAAGCTTTGCTCTCACACGTGCTGCTCATCTCCTGCTGTGGGGCTCAGTTCCTAACAGATCACAGCCTGGGGCTTGGGGACCGCAGTTCTAAAGGACAGATAAGTGCCTTCCAACTGGTACCAGGAAGGAGGTTTCTCATACATTTCTTTGTATTAAAGGTCTATTTTTATCCTCCCGTACGGTCTCCAGGATATCGAAATGGATTCTACCTTTCCTGATGAGGCAAGCGCTTTCTCTGCCTTGTTCAAGTTGTTTTCTATAGCACTGCTTCCGTCACACTAAATCCTCTATATTGCCGTGACAGCGTTTGCCACTGGTTACTAAACAAAGCATGAATACTATTTTCCATATAAGGGAGGGCCTTTAAATTACACATGCATTTATACATTTCAAATGTGAAAAGCTTTACATTTCTTGAAGGAAGACATTAGAGGGAAGTTGGTTTATGGTTATTTTTAGTTTGTGTATATCTGCTATGATTCTTAGAAGAAAATTCACTGACCTGGTTCTTAAAAAATACTAAAAATAATGCAGAAGGATTTCCTTCTCTAATCCCCAAACTGCAATATGGTGAGGCTATAAATACTAACCATTCCTGGTAAACATCATCTCATCTCTCCTCTCCCATAACCCACAGGATATGTTTATTGAGATACTATATTGAAATTTAATAGATTTTAGCCTCTCAGTTTATTAGCAGCCAAAGGGGGAAAAGCCCAGTAAAAAGCCCAGATGTACACTATTAAAAACCGAGGATGGTGTAGAATTACACACACTCGGTGATCAGTAGGACAATATTAGGTCAGTCCTTTATATTTCTAGACAGCATCCAATAATTTTTAAACGTCAATTTTTTTTAACCGAAAAGGAATAAAAAAAAGCAGCCTTTCACTGGCCCTCCATGCAAGGACACTACTGGTCAAACAGCATTTGGTTTTGCAGATGTTTTGCCCTCCCTCTTTACGATGTACGTGGTGCAGCGTCTACGGCACAGAGGAGAAGAGGTCTGTTAAGGATGTCGTCCTGGAGCTGTCAACACAGTTGTTAGGACCGTTCCAGAATGTGTGAAGAGAAAGAAGGAGACTCCTTAAGTGAGGAGAACATGCCCTCCATTCCCCGGGAGGCAGGAATAGAAACACCTCTCACCTGGTGGAAGAGAGGGCTGTGTGTCACAGGGACTCCCAGCCCACTGAAGCACATTCCCAGGACCATGTCATCGGGGGCATCGTTGCTGTAGCATCGACAGTTACTGGCGACAAGTCTCCTGATGGCTTCTCTGCTGAAGACCATTCTAGCGGGAGCCAAAGCAGACACAGAAAGGGGTTAGCCAGAGCAGCTCCACCGAGACTGTAGACATGAACAAAGAACTACAGTTCAGAGGCCACACGTCTGACAAAGCTGAAAGATGCTGACATCAGTCATCTTTTATATTCAATAGTTACTCTGGAGGAAATATTTTTGTGCTTTCTACAGAGGTAAAATCCCTTTGTTTAATGTATGAAATTTTTAAAATTAATTTTTTTAGTTGACAACTATACATATTCATGGGGTTCATGGTGATGTTTCCATATACAGAATATACAAGGGATCAGACCAAGGTAATTAGCATATCCATCATCTCCAACATTTATCATTTGTGTTGGGAACATCCAATAGCTTTCTTCTGGCTAACTGTGACTATTTATTATTGTTAACTATAGTCACTCTGCAGTGGTATAAAACCAGAACTTATTCCTCCTATCTAGCTGTAATTTTGTATCCTTCAACAAATTTCAATTTTAAGAGATGTTTACCTATCTACTTTTTACATACATTTCTTACAAACTAATACTATGCAACATTCTTCTTCTAATACGAAATTTGGAAAGTGAGAATAGTTTTTTCATTTCAAAACCCTCAATGAGACCAATAACAAAATCTGCCAACATTCTCATCAGGTAGATGGGCCCTGAAATATTAAGTATCTTACTCATAAGTGTCATGACTGACAATGAGATTAAATCTAAGTGAAAGAACAATGCATTATGTGGGTGATTCCAGTTTGCAGATGCTTCCTTAAGGTAACCGTGATAAAGGAGAGTGAGAGCAGGAGAGGGCGAGTGCGTGAGCACAGGACTTTCTTGGTCTCAAATAGTGTCACAGCACTATTTGGTGCCAGGCACCTTCTGGTGGAACTCTGGCCCGTTCTAGCCTCTCTGTGCTCCCCTCAGCATTGCAGGAGGCTAGAAACTTTATAACAGACTTTTCTAGCCTCTCTTGCCAGCTGAGTCTTGGTTTCATCTGACAAGAGGCCCAATATGGGGGGAGGCTGTCTGTTTCTGGCCCTGGTGGTCTGTGGGGCAGAGGCAGGTGATAGGGGCAGCCACAAGCCCCAGCAGAACCAGCATGGAGCAGCAGAGATCCTGGGGTGCCCAATCCTGGGTCCAGCTCAGACACAGTGTCATGATCCCCTGGCAGCAGCGGCCACAGCAATGCTGCACAAGTAGGCACCAGTGACCATAACTCTCGCTACTCCTCCGGCCTTCTATACTTACTGATCACTGGGCGAGACCACCCTGCTCTCTTTCAGTCTTCTGGCCCTTTCCAATACTTGGGTACCAAGTTCCCATCATAAATTCTCTTCTTTTTAAAATATGGATTGGAAAAATTCTTATAGACATCGGCCTAGGGAAAGAATTTATGAAGAAGACCCCAAAGGCAATCACAGAAACAACAAAAATAAATAATGGGACCTGATCAAATTAAAAAGCTTCTGCACAGCCAAGGAAACAGTCATGAGAGCAGACAACCTACAGAAGGGGAGAAAATTTTCACACGCTACACATCTGATAAAGGGCTGATAACTAGAATCTATTTAGTACTTGGGAAACTCGAAAAAAATCAAACGACCCTATCAAAAAGTGGGCAAAGGACATGAACAGAAACTTTTCAAAAGAAGATAGACTAATGGCCAACAAACATATGAAAAATGCTCAACTTCTCTAATCATCAGGGAAATGCAAATCAAAACCACAATGAGATATCACTTAGCTCTAGTGAGAATGGCCTTTATCAAAAAGTCCCAAAACAATAAATGTTGGCATGGATGCAGAAAGATAGGAACACTCATACACTGCTGGTGGGACTGCAAATTAATACAACCTCTATGGAAAGTAATATGGAGATACCACAAAGAGATACAAGTAGAACTACCATTTGATCCAGCAATCCCATTACTGGGCATCTACCCAGAAGAAAAAAAGACATTCTATACAAAAGACATCTGCACTAGAATGTTTATAGCAGCACAACTCACAATTGCAAAGATGTGGAAACAACCCAAGTGCCCATCAATACATGAATGGATTAATAAAATGTGGTATATGCATTGCATGGAGCTCTACTCAGCCACAAAAAAACAATGGTGATCTAGCACCTCTTGTATTATCTTGGATAGAGCTGGAGCCCATTCTACTAAGTGAACTATCACAAGAATGGAAGAATAAGCACTACATGTACTCACCATCAAATTGATATTAACTAATCAATACTTAAGTGCACATATAGTAGTAACATTCATGGGGTGTTAAGCAGATTGGGGGGAGGAGGGGATGGGTATATACACACCTAATGGGTGCCGTATGCACCGTCTGGGGGATGGACACGCTTGAAGCTCTGACTCAGGTGGGGCAAAGGCAATATATGTAACCTAAACATTTATACTCCTGTAATATACTGAAATAAAAAAAAAATTTAAAGTTTTAAAAATCAAAATATAGATTGGTTTCTGGTTTCCATCCTGGTCCTATAGTAGAAATGAATCTTTTCATATCATGAATAGCCCAAAAGCTGAAAAGGCTGAAAGGACTAAAATGGTTCACAAGTTCAGTCTCAATCAAAGACTTTCTTTAAGGCAAAACTGTTTAAAATTCATCCATATGTTCCCATTGCCAAATATAGGGCCTTGTACACAGTAAGCACCCAATAAAAGTGTGACATCAAACAAGTGAGAATGAAGCTGCCTTTGCAAAGATCTTCTTCCCGAGGGAGGACGCATTCCATGAGTCAGTCTAGCAGGAAGGGAAAAAGGACAGGGAGCTTCAGCACAATCGCTGACTCAGAAACGCTGATCCACACGCAGCCCGGCGTGGTTCCGTGCAGTTTCCTCAACGCTGATGACCGATCACCAAGAACGCAGCAGCACAAAAGGCTCCCTCTCTGCCCTTGACTAGACAGGAGGAAAAAGCAGCTCTTTCCTTAAGATGATACAAGGAAATAGGACTGTTCAAAAAGAAGGAAAAAAGTTCCTGTCAACCACACAAAAAGGAAAGCTGCAAGTTTGAAAAGCCACCATAAATTGGCTTTCTCTTAGAAAGCGTGCTGCTCCCCAGGGAAGCCTCCCAGGCCGCACACCTTGCGCGTCCTGCGCCCAGCCAGCCACGCTGGGCTGCACTTACTGAGCCCAGGAAAAGGGCCCGCGAGAGGGGATGCACGCTGACAGGAAACAGCAAAAATGCTTTCTTTCTGCCAGCGTCTATTAGAATAGGAAGGAAAGGAGGCCTTTTATTTTGGTCGGCTTTCTCTATAAAAACTGACTTTATAGGAAGATAAAATGTAAGCATGAAATTTTAATTAGTAATTATTTTATACTCTGCCTGCTCTCATGGAACAGTCTTACATTAATTATTCACATAAAGGAAGTACACATGAGACTATAATAACACTTGTTTACTAGTATGCTGATGGGCTCTTTCCAAATGAAGTTGCTCCCAAAATGGAAAATTACCAATCACATCATGGTAGAAAAGAACTCTGGTCTGCTCTGTCCACCAACTTCTAAGTATTAAAAAGATGTTGAAAGGCTACATGATTAATAAGTTGATTTCCTTTAACATACATATACAAATTTTTAAAATAAGAAGATGGAAATGCGAGGCTGGGACTTGCTCCAGAATGCGCCTGCAGACAAGGAGCTCGCACAGAAGGTGTCCTGCAGGGGACGCGCCCATCCTCCCTGAATCTGCAGCGGTGAATAGCTCGCGGCTGTCTCTGGGTAACACCGGGGCCTCTTCCAAGGACACTGTCCCCATCCGATGCTGGTTCAGTCATCTGCCCCAAGATTGCCAAAGAGGCTAATGACACCCTGAGCACAGCTTCCTATCCAAACTCATGTATGAAATAGAAACTTTCAAAAAGAAACAATCATTCAACTGATTTTCTCCAAATACCCAAACTTTCATGGAGTAATCAACAGAGTGATAAAAAGACGCTTGGATTCAAATAGCGCAAAGGCCTCACTTTCCAGACAACACAGGATATCCCTACACTTGCGTCACTGGAGCCCATGCCTCGCTCGGACTCAGCTCTGGCAAGTGCGGCCTAGGAAGGATGGTTTAAGGCAGTGGTTTTCAAAAACTCATTTTACTGTAACCCACAGTCAGAACACAAGAAACATATTTCACATTGCAACCATTTCTAGGTGGTTTGTGTATGTGTGCGTATATGTGCATGTATAAAACTGAAACAAAAATTCCACAACACAATACTTACCCTTATGCCATGGAATGCGCTCTGATACTTGCCATTTTGTTCTATTTCACTCAATATTTAATTATTTTTAAGTGCTGGTTATGGTCTATTAATTGGTTTTACAAGCCACTGATTCTGACTTGTTGTTTAAAGAGGCATATTTGTTCTCAAGCTAGAGCACCAGAAAATTCCACCGTAATCCTAGAGAAACCATTCAATACTATGTCTGACACGTCTAAGAAAGGTTGATATAAGAGACAATTTCCTAAAGAATGTTCCCGAGTCTTTGTAAAAGTTCTTTGTAAGAGTGCTTTGTAAAAAACAGAACATCACATTGGACAATGTCAGTTACGTAAAGATCATTCATTTATTCACTGGCACCTTGAAAGAAACGAGTCCCTATGCTTGCAAGTGGGGATGTAATGAGGAATGAAACACAAGTGCTGCCTGCAAATAATGTGTGATTTAAGTGGAAGATAGAAAAGTAAATAGACAATTAAATGGTAACGGTTTGCATAATATGCTACGAAAGTACATTAGAAAAGCATTAAACCCAGACTTGAGAGGCTAGACTGGGCTGAAGGCTTCCCGGAGTAAATAAACGATAGCCATATCGAGTCCACAAGAACGGAGAGGAATTACCCAGACAGAAAGCTGGGGTGGCGAAATCATGTCATGTAGAGACCAGCAGATGCCATATCTTGGGGGAAGGAAAAAAATGGTGCTTCTGGGAAACTGAACCAAGGTCAGCAAGAATTCTTTAAGATGAGGGTATAGATGGATGGGGCCAGAAAGGTAAAATAACCTTTTCCAAGGTCATGGGAAGCCCGTATGACTTGATGAGGAGTGTGGATGACTTGATGAGGAGTGTGGACTCCATACTATAGGCAATGGGAGCAGTTCTGCTTGCAGGCAGGATATCAAAGGATGCAAAGACTTCCACACGATGGTAAGGCAAAGAAAAAATAAAAGCAAAATAAAAATCATGCTTATCTGTGGAATTGTTGAAAAAAGGTGGATGCCAGGAAGCCTGGATGAACGCATTTCTAGAGAGAAGAATCCTTCCTAGGGCAGCAGCAGGCCATGGCAGCTTTCGGGGCAAATGGGGCCTGGCGCAGAAGAGAGGTCCCAAGGTGGGGACCGCGGCAGCACCCAGGGAGGCTGCTGATTAGGTGAACGAGAGGTGATCGAAACTGAGGCCTAATCCCAGATCACTTTGACCTTTGTTGAAATCGAATGATCATCTCTTCATTTTAGATGCCAAAAAGTAGGAAAGTCTTCCTGTATCTTCCCTGGGAGGGGGACACTGGGACTGAAGTCAGAGACGACAAAGTGCTGAGTGCGATGTGCCTGTGAGTCACCCACGTGGAGGTGCCCTTGGCAGGTAGATCTGGGAACCAGGAGGTCAGGAGAGAGTCTAGGCTGGAATGGAGACCTGAGGGCTCTCAGCACGGAGCCGGGGCGGATGAGGTTGCCCAGGGAGAATGCAAAGCGAGCGGGCGAGGGAGGCTGGAGAAGACGCCTGAGAGCACGGACACTGCGGGGAGAGATGGAAGGAACTGAGAAGGTTTGATTGGAAAGACAGGAATGAACTAGGAGAGGTCGGAGCTCTGGAAAGCAAGGGAAAAGAGTGTGTCAGTGAACTGTCAACTGTGTCACAGGCTGCTAAGGGGGGAAATGAGATAAGTACGGAAATAACCCATCTGATTTGGCTACAGCAAGGTTACTGGAGACACTGGAGAGAGTTTAGGCAGCAGGCTGAGTGCGGAGCTGAGGAAACGGAGACAGAGTCGCGAGCTCTTGAGACGTTCTGCTGGGGAGGAAGGAGGCGGCGTGGTGGTGGGAGAAGGTTTAAGATGGGAACATTAGAAGTGGTGGGAAATACCCAGGAGCGAGGATAGGCTGAACACAGGAGTTAAAGGTGCCACCTTGGTGGTCTAGCAGGGCCTTCCACGGGCACGAGAGGGGAGCAGTGACAATTACACAACGTTTGTGCAAATATGGCACCAGCCTGGGAGCTCCTGTGGGGGAGGGGCCACATGGTTTTGCTCTGTGCACGCCCAGTACCTGGCATACCCCAGGCTAGGTGAATGAATGAACCCAACTGCGGTGATGCAAGGCAGCGCTGGTTAGGGAAGGTAAGGCAAGGCTGCAGAAGGCCTCGAGTGCCAGTCTCAGAAGTAACAGCTAAATCCAATACACCAGGAAGACAACAAAGTAGCTTGCTTTCAGAAATCACACAAAAAGTCACTTCTACATTAAAAGTACTATATGAACACCAGTGTGTTACAAAATATATAAGCCCACATACAAGCAACAGGGCCCCTTTCAGAACTGGAACATCCTAGCTCACAAGGGCCATGCCTGATCGTCAATCAGCCCTAACTCCACACCAAGACAGTTAAACGCATTGCCATAAGGTAAGGCTGCAAATAGCTTGAACTTTTTTTTTAATGAAGAGGTCAACATTCTTTGGCCTGACTCCTCCGTGTCTTTTCAAAGGCCTCCCTGCACTCCCATCTCCTGCTGCCAACGAGCTCAGGTAGATGCAAGCCATTGCTTAACACAGAGCACTCGGCTCTGGCTTGGTCATCGCACAAAAGAGCCACCTCCGCAACCGTTTATGTTCACCACTGAATAGGCCAAAGCAGAGCATCTGTAATATGACTCCACATCCTGCAGGTTCCCGTAGGACCTGTTCCGGTCTAGGGGACTGAGAAGTAGGGATGTGAGGTCCCAGCCCTGCGGAGGTTTATAATCACTGATTACGCACTAGGAGCTGCCCAGCACATAGCAGACGCTGAACATCTGGTGAATGAATTCAAATGACTAGAGTTGATAAGAAGTTAAGATTCTGCCTCTACACCCCAATAGTAAAGACTGTAGAAGTAACACAAAAGACTAACTGCTTGATTGATTTACCCATACAAATCTAGTTAAAACCTTTCCTCATAAGAGATTAGGAAGATGCTTCATTTAAAAATATTGATTTTTAACTGTTATTTAAAACCTATAAGTCCTACAGAAATATCACTTAATTGCCTAAGTCAAAGCTTTTACATTACTCTTTTCCCAAATGTGATTTATTAAGCACTGGATAAAAGTCAAATGGCTTATTTTCTGAAATTAAAATCTATCACCAATTTTTTTTCATTTAAACAATCAAAATTAGTTGGCCGCCTAGAAGCAATCACTATTACAGGGACATTTCTACCAAGCACGCAGACATATATTTTTAGATCGGTGCTTCAAAGGGTAAAATATTCTTTACTGTGGGTTCTCTTCATATTTAGCAAATATTAATGCGACGTTCACTTTCCCACAAAAGTAACAGCTGCCGTTTGCAGAGCGCTCACATACCAGTGCGGATCCCAGGGCCACAAACCCACATGCCCAGCAGGAAGGGATGTTTACGTGCAAAGTGCTCGCGGAAGGCCGAGCGCATAGTTACCCTCCTCCGCCCGTGACGTAGCTGTAGCCGCCGGTGCCCAGGCCGTAGCCGTAGCGCTCTCCCAGGAACACGGGCTCGCTGGCGTCGTAACAGCTGAGCAGGTGCTGGAGCCGGGACACACTGGGGTGCCAAAGGGAACACACGCAAGTCACGATTACGAAATTCAAATGCAGTTTCAGAATAAGCAGTTTACGGTTCTTACATCCCACTGTTCACACTGTGTAATAGTACACTGAAACGGGTTAGAGTGATTTATAGAAGAAATGGATTTTTTTAAAAGATAAAAAAAAAAAATGCACGAACAGTGTCATCACTGGAAACAGAAGAGAAACTGAGAATCAGGGGCTCACTCCCCAGTTTACCACGTCCCTGCAGAACACGGCTGCCCAGTCTGGGTGGGGGGGTGGCAGGTCACGGAGGCGGCCAGTGAGCTACAGATGTCATTCCCGCCAGTCCTGTTTCCACGTGAGTGCACTAATCCTCACATCTTTTCAGACGGACCTGGTATTTTTTTAAAAAATTACCGATGGCCTAAAAGGGAGCTTTTGAGGTACCATTGAGTTGGGGGGAGGGTCCGTGTCAGGCCCTTTGCTGGAAGGTGGGGAAGAGAATTCAGGCAGCGAGCCTTTCCCGGAAATCCTCAGTCGACGCGGTACAACTGTGCTTATGTCCCCTCGACAAGGCCACCCCAGTCCATGAACTTATTGTCTCCACTTGTTTATACCTCTCAGTACCTTTTGGCCCCCTCTGCCTTTGTCACGTGTCACCTAAAACAGCTTCCAAAGGGCAGTGAGAACACCCGCGAGCTGGCCAGAAACATGCTGCAAGTACAGTTATGCAACAGAAGACTTCCCAGGAAAATAAAATCTAGGAATAACCTTTTAAAGTAGACACAAAGGTGCTGCTAAGAAAGGCTACGTTTTTATGTTTTAAGAACTTGCACCGAACTTGCACCACTTAGAAATGCCTTATAAAGTCCTCCCCTGTTCCTCCTAATCTAGAGCTTTCCACCAAGTCCCAGCTTTCCTCACGATACTCAGCAGCATTCCCTAACGTAAGTTCTTCCAGGGCCGATAACTTTGGGTTAACATTTTTAATGGGCTGAATAAACTTGAATATGCTTCTCAGAGAGTCTCCTAGAGGTGGATTTGATGTCAGGCATTTTTCCAAATATTAACTAGGAAATCTTTTCTCACAGAGCAATATTAACACCAGTGTTCTGGAGCCTCCTTGGGGGTTGGGGATGGGTGATAAGAAAACAAGTGCAAGAAAACATCACCTGTCCTATCTGTGCTCGTGTGTCTTACAACAGCACCCCTGCTAACACAGCTAAAGCTAAAAGTGAAGAAAACTAATTTAACGTAGGAAATAAATCCAACAAGGGTTGGTCCTCCGTCTCCGAGTCTGCCGATGAGGTTTCTATCTGTCTGAAGGTCAAGGCCTCTCTGATAACTTGACTGAGTGACCAGAAAACATTATCCCCTAATGCTATCCGGTTTTCGGCACGTAAGTTAAACTTTCTAAGCACCTAATTTGGAAGCAGCCTTCAGGAAATCATACAGTAAATAATTCTGCAGAGGAAGACAAGTAAATACGTAGACGTCATTCGGTGGTGGGGAACACAGTCTTGAAAGATCTCTAAGGAAACTGCAGCCGCTGGTTGGTAAAAGGCTCTGCAAAACCTCCAAGCCCTCTGGGGCGAATTTATATATAATTCTAGACCTGAGAAGAAATGAGAAATGTGTAACATTTCTCTTCCTCCTGCATATTGTAAAGCTATCCATTCAACCCCCGACCTTTAATATTTCTGAAGTTAAAATAACGGAATTTAACATCTCTGGGTTTCTTTTCCTTACGACACTCACCATGTCCACATTCACAGTATCATTTTAAAGCCGAAGGATCACAGACTGAGTTGAGATCCACCATACATTGCATGTTTGCTAAACAGGGGCAACGTGGATAAAGCAGGTAGCTCTGGAGATCCATCTCAGGGGATTTGGCTACTGATCCAGGAAAAGAATTTCACTTGACAATCTGTTACCATTTCAGGCAATTCTGAGGCACAGAAATGCAGACAGACAGCACGGCAATGCTCCAGAGCAAGTGCTATCAAAACCAGCCTATTAATGCACCTTAGCACTGCATACGGATTTTGACAGCACAATACTGATCTTTAAAATCCAGAAGATGCTCCACCCTAGCCTACTATGGTATTTATTTTTAAACTTTTTATTTGGAAATAATTTCAAGTAGAAAAATCGCAAGAATGGGACAAATATGTCATATACCTTTTGCCTAGATTTGCCAATTTTTAACATTCACCCCATTTGTTTTATCATTCTGTCTTCTTCCTTCTCTCTATATTACACAGACATGTGTACGTAAGTAATATCTATGTATATGTGTGTATTTATATATATTTCTCTTTTTAGAAATATTTGAGAGTATAATTTGCATACATTATGCCCCTCTCCTAAATACATCAATGTTGACTTCCTAAGAACAGGAAAAGTTATTAGCAACTTCAAGAAATTTAACATTGATACAATAAGTCTCTTAAAAGAGTTAAATAGACATCTTCTAAACGTCCCAGACATTCTACTCCTAGGTATTTAACTGAAAGAAATGGAAGCAAATGTCTACACAAAGACTTGTATACTAAGGTGCACAGTAGCCTTAATTATAATAACCCACAGCTGGACACTCTGACAC